TGATAGAGAGGAAAACTGCAAGCCTGTGGAGCCTGTGAACTCCTTGTAAATCCTCACCCACAGGAAAGTAGGATCTTTCCATTCTCCCTATTACTGCTTCCAGGGGAGAGATTTTTGCATTGAACACTCTCTCATTGTGTTCTTTCCACAGCAAATGACAAGAGATACCAGCTTCCAAATCATATCAAGAAAAGTTGAAAACAGAAGGCAGGAAAAGAACCTAGATAATATTCACAGAACATGCCACAGAGGATCTTACCAGCTATGTTCTAATGCAACTAGAAACACATAAATTTCTGTAGTTCATTATTAGGTCTTCGGCATTATACTTAATACATAACTTGCAAGAAAGAAGACACCAAAGTATGCAAATAGCACATACTACCCATCCACTTTAAGCTCATCAACCAGGAAGAAGCACCAAAGAAAGAAAAAAATGAAGACAAGGGGTAGCTGGGGGTGGGGGGGAGTTATATAGGCATCAGCACTTCCTATAACTAGTCTCTCAATTCATATATGGAAGACATCAAACATTTTGCAATTCCTGCAAGCAAGTATCAAAAAAAAAAAAAAAAAACAAAAAGAATATTATCTCCGGTCATAAGCAATACAGTAACACTTGATACAACACATCGAAGATAATACAGATAAAAATCCTCCTTGAGGACTAAATCATTAACTGATAACCCATACTTCCAAGTAAAAGGGTGGAACTGTAAGCACCTTATGTCTCAATCCAAAATTTAAGGGGGAGGGTCTTTAGTCAGCCAGTTTAGTCAAACGGTGAATTGTACTTTTTGCAAGCCTGTTACCAGGGTCGATCTTCAGAACCATCCTCATGTCCTCTGCCCCAAGTTTGTACTTTTCAGTACTCTCGTACAGGAGTGCACGTTGTATTAGGACAGAAACATTTGCACTATCATGMTCTAGAACCTGTAAAACAAAAAGATTTGATTTCCATACTGAGCAGACAACAAAATGCAGCAACAGTTCACAGAAAAAAAGTTGCACAACCACCTAGGGTACAATGATTAAAAAGCAACATACATTACGCATATTATCAACCTGAATGCAATTAGTTCCCATCTCATAGATTACACTGGCCCTAAAACATAGAGCTGTCAACGGCTTGGGTGTACCTGACAGAACTGACCTGACTATGTTGGTTCTGGTTCTGTGGTTTGTGTCCCAATAAATAATTGGATTGGGATTGGTTCTTGCTGTTTCAAACCTATTATATAGTTAATAATATATAAAGGTCTCCTGGTTTTCTTGTAATTGTTGTTATATGTTATGTCTAAAAGAGTAAATTTTGTAGACAAATATAAGATATATATTTTTTGGTTAAAACAACTGTTTTAACATATAAACAGTTTATTATTTTACTGTCATTTTTATTAAGGTTATATTATGAAAAATGATGTTCTAAGTTGTTACTACTATCATAGGTAATTATAGATGTCAAGTATAATCGGGTCAGGCTCAGGCCCAATTATCCTGATTAATAATTGGTTTGGTTCTGGGCCCATCTTATAGAACCAATTAATAATCAGTTTGGGACTGGTCCGCCCTGTCCCAAAACAGGGCGGACCAGTCCCAAACTGATTATTAATTGGTTCTATAATGACAGATCTACTAAAACAACTTTGTTTTACATTCTTAATATTTCGTTCTGCAGTGTACAGTATGTGTCCAGAATCCAGATAGCTGAAAATAAGTTGTTTACAGCAAGGAACCTCAAAACTGTATGATATCAGAAACTTTGTTTTGACCATCCAAGATTTGGACAAGCTAGACATGGTAAAGTGAGTGGTGGCCTGAAATCTCCTTCTTCGGTTTAAAGAAAAACCCCTACAAATGAAAAGAAAAAAATAGGAAAAATGAAACAATAGTTATACCTTTGAGCAGTCAGCAATTGCTTTCTTATACTCCCCAACTTCTTTATAGCAGGAAGCTCTGCATGACAAAACCTCCACACTGGCTGCATCATCACCAGCTTTCTCTAGAAGCACTACTGCCCAAGACAGCCACTTTATGGCATCGGCAAACTGCCCCTGCTTGTGATTATCCAACCCCTTGTTCTTTGCAGCCGACGCTGTGACACCAGCTGGAGGGGGTGGAAGACCTTCAAGCTCAGTCGTACCACCCACATCACTTCCTCCAAATTCTGCACCCAAGCCCCAGTCATCTGCTTCAGAAAATGGTTCATTTCCGGAAACTTCAGGTGCTGTTGTTGGAGCTGCAGAGGTAGAGTTTGAGGTTGACGAGAACAACATATCTAATGGATCTACACTGGTGGGCTGAGTAGGAGGCTGCTTCTGAGAAGCAAAATCTTGGGTAGTAGGAATTCCAAAATTATCCAAATTGGCAGCAGAACTAGAGTTTGATCCCATGTAATTGTTACTGGTTGCAGGAAAAGCAGATGTGAATGACTGGTTGTTTGATTTGGAAGCGTTCTGGAATTCTCCAAATGAATAGTCGCTGGCGCTGGCGCCGGCACCGGCACTGGAACTATTGTCTGCTGTGGAGTTGAGGTTCGGCTTAGACCCAAAATCTACCAAAGATCCAAATGGGTCTTTCTTGGAGTTTGCAGGGGCTCCAGCTCCACTTCTCATTGCTGGTCCCCCAAGATTTCCAGTCTTATTGCTATTGTTCATACTGTTGGTATTAGTGCTGTTGTTGGCAGCAGAATAACTTCCAAAATTGCCAGAAGATCCCCAATTGCTGTTCCTCATAGGAGTGCTGGTTTTGGGCAGCGAATCAGCCATACCCCCCATTGAGAAAGAATTCTTCGTCTGGGCGGATGCCGTTGGCGGTGCTGCATTCTTCAAAGGAACATTGGTGTTGCTCTTAGCCTGACCGAGAGCAGAACCAACAAGATCTCCGAACAAATTAGGGTTCTTTTCCGGGATGCCAATACGAGCGTTGTTGCCCGAACGGGCGGTAGAAGCCCAACTCTTGCCAAAGATATCTCCGACCATGGAAGTAGGGTTAGATGTACTTGGGGAGGACTGGTGCGTCCATGAAGCTTTGTTTGGGGTCCACGACGAGGAAGATGGGGAGGGCTGTTTGGGTTGGGTGGATGAAGACCAAGCGGTGGTAGTAGTAGTAGAGGAAGAGGAAGAAGGATAAGAATAAGGGGAGGCATTTTGTTGTTTATGATCGTTTAGAGATCGATGACGGTTGTTAGAGAAGCCGGAGCCCAGACCGAAATCGAATTCATAGTTATTACTAGAAACCGATCCTCTTTGTGGGTTACTAGGTTTTCCAAAGTTAGAATTCATGGTCGCTTATGGCAGATCTGAGATGGAGCGAGTGGGAGATATTCAAATTAAAATTAAAATTAAAATTAAAACACCATAGCTTTAATTCGCACGAGATTGCCGAAAAGAGAAGAAACAAATAGAAGGGCAGATCAAGAAAGCGTACCTGGAATAACTGGCGGGGACTCCACGACACAGGAACAAGAAGGGAGAGAGCGGCGATCCACGAACAGAGAAAGCCTCGGTCCAGGCCTGTTCTTTCTTCTGAATTTCCCTGAAAAACTATAACAACAATAATAATATAAGAGAAGCGCAGAAGAACATCGTTTCGGTAATTCTCCAGATCTTACTTTGGTAGGAAGGTGAGGTAGTAAATCAAAGGAAAATTTATTTTAGATCTCTCTTCTTTAGGAGTTCGATATCATTTGTTATTATTACAGCACAGGAATAATAAGACCGTCCAATTGGTCTAAACTACAATATTGGTCTACCCAAGTAGATCAAACCGTCCGATTCAAGCATTAGGCCAGCTAATTGACAGTCTTGAAGTCGGTGGCAATGTCACACCCATGTCTTAATTTATTGAAAGGGATCTGGGGCCCAGAACTTGCAACTTTCCCCACCACCACCAACCATGACCATCTGATGTGGAGACGAAACTATTATTATTATTATTATTATTATTTTGTATATCGTTTTTGGGCCCCTGTGCATGGAACGTTAATAATTGGGTCTGATTAAAGAATTAGTCCCAACTCGAGCTGATTATATAGTTTATAATACATAAAGCCTTTAGATTTTATTGTAACTTTTGCTGTATTCTTGGGTTAAGACGATTTTGGTTAAAACATCATAACAGTTCAACACAATTAACACAATTGTTTTAATTAGGATGCATTTAGTTTGAAATAAAAAATAAGAGATAATAATAATTTAAAACTTTAATTTTGATAAATATAATCATAAGGCTGTATTTGACTGGAAATTCTTGGGTGAATTATTGAATTACACTTCAATAATCAGGATCTGTCGCATAGACCCGAATAATAATCAGTTCCGGATAGGTATAGCCTGATTCGAATTTTGAAAATTCATAGTTATAACTTGTAAGAACAGAAATTTTGGCTACTTTACTGGTAGTAGTCACAATAAATTTGTTTATTTGTTGGACAGATAGACTCTGCCTATCAGTCAGGTCTGATATATCATATATGCCCCATGGTAAAGATCGGAAATTAGGCCCCTTTCCAGTATTAAGATCGAATCGAAGTAACAAGAGTGGAGAATTGTGCATATGGTAGGTAGGATCCTATTCCTATCCAACTGGACTTAATGATCACCATCGGACGCATCACATGTGGCCCAATCATATCTAACCCCATTCTACTCAATTATGCACCTTTTTTAGAACAAAAATAAAATAAAAATCTCCAGACGGAACCAGATCTAGGTGATGTTAGATATACAACTGCCACTCCTTATAATTCCAATCTACAATTTTGTAGGAAAAATTATAGATAATTAGCTTAAATTTGGGGTAGTGGGTCTCAGCTCTCGTAACTTTAAAGTGCAACAACTTTCAAAAATCAACCAAGTACCCTAAAAATCATTTTCTATTTTTAGGATTAGAAATTCAGCAAAAAAATCAAGTTAATCAAAATTTATTATATATAATATAATATGTATGAAATTCGACTTTAACTAAAATAATAATAATAAAAAAAAACAAATAAAAAATCTCAGTTTCGATTTTTTGGTTTTATTCAGTAATTAAGTTTCGGTTTGGTTTTATGCTTTACAAGTTCAATTATATGGTTTGATTTTAAACCAAATAAACTGAATGCTCACCCCTAACTCAGTGAAAGTTCAATCAAAGATTAAACCCTCCCAAATGGGCCCTAAAAAAACTTCTATAGCTCATCATATTATCAAGCAATCAGCAAAAGGTTTAAACAGAAATGAGAAATGAGGCAATTGGTCCTATACTCCCATGCAAATTGATCAATTTTCAAGTTTGACTTGGGCCTCTCTCTCTCTCCCCCCCTCCTGGAACCATTCTCTATTTTGACCATTTTCTCCTTCCAGTCCTACAATAACCCAGAAAATAAATCCAAGCTTTGGATTATACATTCCTGAAGCTAAAATTTGGAGTTTGACCCCCCAGAGTTCTAAACAAAATTTTATGCACTGAACTAAATACCACAGCTCTTACCAAAAGACAAACAAAAACGAAAGAAACGAAAAGAAAAACATACCACATCTATATAGTCACATCTCACATGTTTCCCAATAGACATTCATGAAGGTATTTATTTCTTGCTTCAATCTCAGAATGATTTGAAATCTCCCATATACCTCAAGAATTTATGAATACTCAATTGGCCTGAAAATAGGGAGGCAAGTCAGGCAACGCAGGGGGGGGGGTCTTAACCCATCAAACAGAAACCCAGAGCTTAATTTTATTCATTAACTCCATCATAATTAAAGAAACTCAAATAACAAACAGAATGCTGCTAGTACTCAAATAATAAGATAAAAATGAAACAAAAATAAGGTAATGGAAAGATTGAAAACAACTGCTGCACACATATACACATATAGAAGAAGAGTTCTGTTAGAACAGTGTAGTGGTGTGGAGAAACAAGAGTAGGGTTTTCTCTTGAAAGACAAAAGGTACCCATAAGATTTAACCTTTACAATATCTGTTGTTATATATATCAAAAAGATATCTTTTCTGTATTATGTGCAGCCATCTATTGTCCTTGAAAAAGAAAAATAAGGACATTTTGAAACTTCAGGAATCTGCCCCCTCGCCAGTAAAACTTGGTCATCACCTGAGGTCCCTCCTGTCCATGGTGCCTTTCTCGCCAAATACATCTCTGTCCTTACACCATCATAGTGCATAGGGCTGTTCACTGGTCGGGTTGGGTTGGTTTAGTAGTGTTTTTTTAAACTGACCCGACCTAGTCGGTTTGAGTAGGTTTAGGTCGGGTTGGGTTGGTTTGTGTTTCAACCAACTTCAAGCTTGTACAATGCACATGGAGTCAAAGTGCTAATATTATATATAATATTTCAGAATATATTTTCTGGAAATATGTATTTAAAACCAAAACATATATACAAATATATCGAAATATATATTTTCTAATTTCTGGAAATATATATTTCAGAAATATATATTCGATATATTTCAGAATATATATTTTTTCAGATATATATTTATTATTTAAAACTAAAATATCTATATTTAACAGATATTTTTTCAGAATATATATTTTTTCACATAACTCGGTTCGGTTCGGTTTATTCATCTTTGCAACCCGAAACCGACTGGTAGTGAAGAAAAACCGGCCAACTCGGGTTGGTCGGTTTGGATTTATTTGTGAACAGCCCTAATAATAGTGCATGCCCCACCGGTAACCAGTAAGAAAGTCTACTTAATTAATATAATAGTATGGCTCAGAGAACTTTTTACTAAAATTCTAAAACCAAGGAAAGAAAGAACCTCATATTTGGGCATGTTTCACGGTGTCTATCTAGACCAGAAAGCTACCTTGGTTATACTTTCACTACAATCAGAACAGCAACTGAATACAAGAGGTATCATATTGTTCTTTTTTTGGTATCATCTTGTTCTTGATTTATGATGAACTATCATTATTCTAGCAAGCAGATCCTTACGGATTAACATTAGAAATGACCTCTAGGTAGATCGGAATTAAAATCTCATATCCATATGCAGGAAGCAATTTCTTTACGAGGCATTGTACTTAATTCAATTGGCCATGCACAGACTCTAACCAAGGGTTTTATATGCTTAAACTGGTAATACGTTTAACAGTTACAGGATTCTTATAACAAGGGGAGCATAAACTACTAGAGCAACCACTTATGAGCTTAAAAGCCCAATGGATTAGAGGAACCAATAAACTCTAATACACCATTGGTCTGCATCAATTATCTATAGTGCAACTGCAGTTCTTTCCGTATAAAGAATTAGAATAAGTATGCCAGAGAAAAGACCTACAGGATATTCACATTGCTGACCTTCCTACAGCACATTGCATGTTATATATGTTCCTCATTGACAATAGTTTGTAATGCAAGGGAGATACATCTCTGTTAACAAACTAAGAATTACAACTCATGCAAACCTTAGTTTAGTACTGTAAGTTCTCCACTTAGGCAAATTATCTGTTAATCCTCAGGCATTGTCGGTTGTCGCCAATGAAAATCTCACTGATCTAGTGAGGAATCTCTATCTTATTAATCCTGTCTTCCCATTGCATTTGGTTGCGTTGCAGGTTCTTTCCTATCTTGGGCCCAGCTGTCTCTTTGCATCGGTTCTCTTCTTTCAACCTGCATCGTTTCACGACGTCTGTCATACCGAGGGCGAGGTCTGTTCCTAGTTTGCTGTCTCTCGTTGAATCTGAATTGTGGCCTATGGATGACTTTTCCATCGATAAACAAATCTCCTAATAAACAACCCAAAAAAATGAGGAAATTGAATAAGCACGCATTTCATTTAATCAGTAGAAAGTCCATTAGTTAAGACCAACCTCCATAATCTTTGTTGGGCACATCAAGATACGAATCCGGCAATACCCAAAGAACACCAGGTAGTCCTGTTCATCCCGATGGAAAAGAAATCAAATCCAAGTTAGAAATGAAAGCTACTGAAAACCCTAAACCCCAATTTCGAATACCTTTAACTTTGTAAGAAAGCTCTTCAGATATCAAAGCACCAAAACCCGTGTAAGTGGTGGTGCAGACCGAGTAGATTTTCTTTTTGGCCTTCTCTTCACTGGTAATCCAAATAGGCGGAAGACCATAAATAACATAATGACGAAAACAAAAAATAAAAGGAGCATGAATCAAGAGCAGAGAATAAGCAAAAGATACCTCCCGACAACAGCAGCAAGGGTCTTTACGTATGTAGCGATCATCTCCTCCTCGGAGGGTTTAGGGTCAGCAGGAAACTCCATGACGATGAGCCAGTGCTCATAGTCGCAACCATCGAGGAGGATCGTCTCTTTAGGAGGTCTGTTGCTCCAGTTCGGAGAAGGATCGTTCAAGGGCGAGTAGCCTGACGCCGATGTTTTCGACCGAATCGGGATTGTCCTTGGCTCGGGAGTCGGTAACCGATGCTGCATATCGAGTACTGCGAGTGCGAAACGAGAACGAACAGGTAATAGAGACGATGAGGAATTGATTGTTCGAGAAAGAAGAGAAACGAGGGTACGCCGGGTTAAGTGCGACATAGAAGACCTTCACTTCCTTGCCTCGTTTGGTCTCGCAGAGTTGTAGTCTCGCGCGCTTTCTATCCCTCTCTTTTGCACTATGTAAGCAGAGTCTTTACTTGCAGCACAGGAGAGATCCGGGCTCAGTCCAGACTCCAGAGCATGAGCAATTGGGTATTGATATTGGGGTCGAGATCTCAACTGTCGGATCAAGATCCTTTCGTATGTATGGGTTGATTACTTAAGGCTATGTTTGGCTTGAAGGAAAAGGTAGAGAAAGGAAGGGAAAAATAGGGAAACTCATACAAGATTTATAAAGGTTTTCTACCTTTCCTTTCCCTACTTTTTCCTTTAAACCAAACACAGCCTAAGGGCTTCTAATCTTATAAGGGCACTTTTTGCCCTTAATATTAATAAAAATAACAATTTTTAAAATAAGATAATTTCTTTTAAAAAAAATATCAATTAAGGGCACTGCGAAGTGTTCTCGTCTTCCTCCGCTAACAAAAAAAATACAGTTCCCTTATGCCAAAGAAGAGATCTAATGTTCTAAGAGATGAATTGATATAGTCGTGTTCGTCACCATAAAAAAGAAAAGGAGAAATAAAGGAAAAAAATTGAAGTAAAACCAGTAAAAATCAAGGAAAATCTCAAGATTTGGACATCGACCTCCTTAAAGGTAACATAGTCCGAAAACACAGACGATGAGAATCATGAGATGAAAGAAAGCGGTTTCATTACTTAAAGATCGCAACGGCAATGAGAGTTTGGAGGTTTCCATGAGAGAGAGAGAGAGATTGGGCGAAGCGAAGCCACGAGCCAAATTGATGAACTTTGAGGAGTGCGGTTTTTGTTTCCATCTCATTGACTGCTTTGAGAGAGGAGAGAAGAGAAGAAAACAGGAGTGGTTTTAGGGAAGTTCATGGAGAGGAGTTAGTTCTTATTTTGGCTGAGTTGATGATTGCAAAGACAAGATTTTCACCATGAACGGTAATGGATATCCTAGGATGGAGGCAGGCTATATTATTAGACACCATGGACACGAGACAAGAGACAATCAGTGCAGCTCTGCTCTCGTTAAACACATCAAGGCTCTTGTTCATCTCGTAAGATCCCTCGGTCGATCGATGCCTTCTCATCTCTGGTGTATCTGTGTGTGTATGGCTTTGTTTTACTTTTTCCTTTTTAAGTTATTTTCTTGTTTCAACTGTGTTTTTGAACCTTCAGAGAGGTTGATGCCCAGATCCTGAGATTTTCCATGATTTTTACCGGTTTTACTTCAAATCTTTTCCTTTATTTCTCCTTTTCTTTTTCATGGTGAGGAACCGCATGACTATATCGATTCATCTCTTAGAACGTTAGAACTCTTCTTTGGCAAGCAACAGTGCGCAGTGCCCTTAATTGATATTTTTTTGAAAATGTTATCCTATTCTTTTTTTAGTAGAAATACGAGGAGCTACACAAGATGGGGGTAGCTCGGCCCCATACATCACAAAAACAAATAGAACTTAAGACTCTAGGGATAGAGGGAGGGCAAAAACTGAGAGTGCTGAGAGGAAAAGAAAGATCTTGGGTTGCCATCCAGTCCACTGCTTGATTGGCCTCTCTATAGACATGGTTGTAGGTGACACCACAATCCAAATCTCCAACCAGCTTCAAACACTCCTTGATGATGGTCTTCAATCTCCATGGGCAGTCCACTTTATTCTTTAAACATGAAATCACAAGAAGAGAGTCTCCCTCAATGAAGATGGAGAGACCCCTATGGTTAAAAGCGATATTGTGGGCCTCCCATGCAGCCCAAGCCTCCGCCACATTAATTGAGGAATTCCCGATAAAATAAGCTTTGGTCTCAAGAACAATCCCCCATTGATTTCTTGCAACGCAACCAATTACGCAATCACCTTTATCATTTCTGGACGCGTCAAAATTAATTTTGATAGAACTCCCTTTTGGAGCTTTCCATTTGCTTGGCTTCCAATCTTTATTCTATATAGTACTGGGATTAGAACAATTTTCAATGTTGTAATTAAAATGTAGAGACAAAGCTCTATTAATGATGACCGAAGGGTGGCTACAATGGTTTTGGAAGGTATTTTTGTTTCTATTCTTCCAAATCTGCCACAAGATAAAGCAGGATTTCATAGGGATCGTAGAATCAATTTGATTGGAAAATAAGTCATTCCACCACTCCCGAAGTGAGGAGTCATTTTCACTGGGCCCCTTAATATATGAGTCTAAGATATTCCAGATTTGTTTAGCAATAGTACAATTTTTAAAAATATGATTAGTGTATTCAATTCCATCACAAAAGCTGCAACCAACATCAATGGAGATACCTAAAGACCTTAAGAAGGTTTTAGAAGGTAGCCTAGAATTAAGCAGTAGGTATAAAAAGGTTTTGATTTTAGGAGGAATTTTAAGCCCCTAAATCTTGTTGACCTGAAAGTTAAAATCACTCTAACCCCTGTGCATGATAATAGCTTCTTTGTATGCCGATTTAACAGTAAAGTGCCCTTTGGGATTCAACGTCCAAATCAACATATCCTCATTTGAGTCAGAGGGGATAAAGATGGTTCTAATGCCATTCCAAATATTAAGGGGAACTAAATTACAAATCTTATTCTCCTCCCAAATATGTCTTTCATGATTAATAACATCACTTACTAGCAACTCCTCATGCTCAATTTCAGCCCCCGAAGGCTCTATATTCAATAAACCTTCAATTGGACCTAAGTCCAACCAGATATCTTTCCAAAACTTAATATTCCTTCCATTGCCAACAACCCAACCCAGACCCCTTTTGATTAAATCTCTAGAATTCAGAACTCCCCTCCAAGCCCAAGAAATTCCATTTTTAGGCTTAGCATTCCAAAAAGATTCATTTCAAAGGTATTTGTGGGAAACCACTCGGACCCATAAATTATGTTTGTCGTTTAGAATTTTCCAACCTAGCTTTGCTAGGCAAGCCTCTTTAACCCAGTGAAGATTTTTAAGGCGCAAACCACCCCAATTCTTGGGGAGGCAAATTTTCCCCCAACTTATTAGATGAATGAGCTTTTTATCATTGCCTTTGGATCAAAGAAAGTTCTTTTGTCTCTTATCAATCTCCTCAATCATGTTATTTGGAATTTTGAATGAGCTCATGATAAAATGAGGCAAAGAACTAATAGTAGAGTTAAGTAGAGTGGCTCTACCAGCCAAAGAGAGAGTCTTCCTCTTCCATCTAGTCAATTTCCTATTAACTTTATCTTGAAGATTGTTGAATACTTCCTTTGACACTCTTCCATTGATGACTGGAGCACCTAAATAGGTGGAGTCTTTTCTCTCAAGAGGGATTTTAAGCATTCTTGAAAAAATCTTCTACAATCTAGACGGGATGTTACAAGAGATTCTAAGAGTTGATTTCGTAAAGTTTGGACTTTGACCAGAAGCTTCAACAAACTTATCAAGAATCTCCCTAATCTTCAGACAAGCTGGAATGGTAGCTTTAGCAAAAATAAGACAATCATCAGCAAATTGAAGAATAGGGATACAAGGACCATCCCTTGAGACTTTAAAACCAATTGGACTCTTATGCTTGCTTGATTCATCAATTAGGTTCCTAGTTAAGGCTTCGACACATAATACAAAAATGTACGGGGATAGAGGATCTCCCTGCCTAATGCCCCTAGATGGCTCAAAACTTTTAGAAGGGAAGCCATTAATCAAAATTTTATAAGAGACTGATTTTATGCATGACATGACCCAATCAATCCATTTCCTATGGAAGCCAAACTTTGTAAGAACTTTCTCAATAGACCATTCCAGCCTGTCATAGGCCTTCTCCATATCAACCTTACAGGCCAAAAAGCCTGAGCTCCCTTTTTTCTTTTTCATAGTATAGAACATTTCATGTGCAATAAGAATGTTATCATTGATATGTATATGTGGGACAAAAGCACTTTGAAATGGAGAGATAATATCATTAAGAATTGGCTTAAGTCTATTTACTAGAATTTTGGTAATGATTTTATAAATCACGTTGCAAAGACTTATAGGCCTAAATTTGTTTACATTATCTATGTTCTTAACTTTGGGAATAAGAGTGATGAATGTTTCATTAAGAACCTTGTTTAATTTTCCGGAATTAAAAAAAGCTCTTATGATATTACACACCGTGTTTCCAATGATATTCCAAAATTTTTTAATGAAGAGAGCATTTAGCCCATTTGGGCCCGGAGCTTTGAAGTCTTTCATTGAATTAACAACTTCCTAAATCTCTCTATTTGTAACTTCCTTACAAAGTAATTTGTTTTGCTCCACTGAGATGCAAGGATTTATGTTTTTGATGAAATCATCCACCCCATGAACATTCTCAGACTTACATCTCTTCCTCAAATTTTTTGACAATAAAGTCTGTTAATTGTTGTTGGTCATCCAGTCATTCTTGTCGTTTTTTAATCTGAATATTCTATTTGAATTTCTTCTAATAGTAACCATTGTATGGAAAAATTTATTGTTTTTGTCACCAAAATTCGTCAAATCAATTTTGGCTTTTTGTGCCTAGAAGATTTATTCTCGTTTAAGAACATTATCAAATTGAATTTGGAGAGCACACTCTAGATTGATGGTGGTTCTATCATCTGGATTCTCAACTAATTTGCTTTGAACTTCATTAGGTTTTTGAAGGAGCTCATTCTTTTTGTAAATATATTACCAAAATGTTCTTTGTTCCATTCTTTTAAATTTTGAACAAGTAAATTCCTTTTCTTAATAAATTGGAGAGCTCTAGTACCCGTAGTATTATGACTCCATGAATGGGAAATAACATCAACAAGATTGGGGTCCTCACACCACATTGCTTCAAATCTAAAAGGCTTAGGGCCCCTTTGATAAGAAAGGAAGATTAGTGAGAGTTGCATCAGCAAACTCTCTCCTCCACTCATCATTGACAAAAACCCAATCCAACCTTTCCCAAGTAAATTTGTTTCTCCAAATAAATTGATTCCCAAACATGTTAATTTTGAGGAGGTTGCAATCAGTAATTAAATTATTGAAATCCTTAGTACGAGAAGGATGAATGGTTCTTCCTCCCCTCTTATTTTCATTGGACCTGAATGCATTGAAATCCCCAATAAGGCACCATTCTCTACTAGTATCATCACCAATGGTCGTTTTCTTGTTTCAATGACCAC